ATCCATCCATCCATCCATCCATCCATCCAACTATCCAGTCATCCATCCATCCATCCATCCATCCATCCATCCATCCATCCATCCATCCATCCATCCATCCATCTCTGAATTTATTTTCCTTCTTTAACGAGCCTGAATGTTCCTCTCTCAGCTCCAGTTCTAATTTTAGTTCCAACCAGAAAACATCTGCCCTCTGCTGCATCTTTGTTGATATTTTAACACATTCATGGATCATCGTGTCTCCCTTGCTAAGATTATTTTCTCTGACCAGCTCTGTAGGTGGATCCAAAGGCTGCAGCGACAGGAAGTCGGACACAAACGAGGCACAACTCTGCCAAGTCAGAAGTTCGCAGTGGCTCGTTGTCGTGGGCCGGAGAGTCGTCGACACAAACTTCTGAGTGACAGAAACCACAGAAATCAGACACGAGGCAGACTGTGGTTGAATAGTTGAAGAGCAGGAGGTGATCGTTACCCTGACGCCACATTCGTTCAGAGGCCAGAGCAGCAGCGGCTTCCTGTCAGGGTGCAGGAGCGAATACTGACGCTGGAAGTTCTCTGCGATGGCCAACAGTCTGATCTCCTGGGGAGAGTTGATCCTGTAGGACGGAGGGCTGCCGAGAGGCGGCAGATGAAGAGGCTCAGCACGTGCTGAAAATGTGGCACTGCTGTTTGTTGAGTTAATTTTTATACTTTGAAAACAAGCATGAATAATGCAAACGTGAAGAAACTGTATATAATGAGTTTATTATAAAGGTTGTTGCTTTGAAATTTTACAAATCAGGTTTGTGTTGTTGTTGTTTAAATCCAACAAAGTGAAGTCAGGTCGTCTGGACGGTTTCTTCTTCTTGAAACATTTGGTCTTTCATGCAAAGACCACATCAGTCTGAGGAGCCGCAACAAACTCAGTCTTATAAATATCACCTTCACATGGTGGGCAGCCACCAGATGGTTTCTAGAGTCCAGCCTCTCCCTTTTCCTCCTGTTTCAACAAAAAGAAGCCGTCCAGACGACCTGACTTCACTTTGCTGGATGTTTTTATTATTGAGCACGAATCTATTTTGAACCAGTTCGGCCATGACTGCCTCAAACGAGCCGGCGGGGGAGCGGGCGGACTCCAGAAACCATCTGAACACCTAAAAGATTAATGAAGTCTTTTGGCTGAAACAGTCCAGAGCATCGAGTATGAATCAGGACGTTTTAAATAATCTTGTCCCAGGTCACTGAGATGAACCGTTTCATCTGGAAGCTGGTCCACAAACACAACACGACCATTTTAATCATGAATTTGCAAACTTTGAGTAAAAACACAAACTCTTTCAGCTCCTGGTTTGTGTTTGAGTTGTGGACTCACTGAAGCTCCTGAGGGTCTGAAACCTGGGTGCTGATGAGATCCTGCTCCGGGGTCCAGCTGTTCTCCTCGTCTTCATCGTTTCTGCTCTGCTTCTCAAAGACTTCAGCCTCCATCTCTGACAAAATGATTAAATGTCTTCAGTAAAAGCTACTTTCAGGTGGAATACAGTCAGAGGTTAATCTGATAAATTACAACAACAAACACCCGACAGGACCAACAGGCCTCGAGTTAAAGGTGAAGTTCATGAAAAACAAATGAATGTGAATGGATTCTATAAAAATGCTGCAGGGAAAACCTCTTCTAGAAATAGGCTAATAAGGAGCTAGCGTGTTTGTGCCTGTGGCTAACTCCTACCTTCAGACCGGAAGTCAACTTTTAACCGGTTTATTTAGCTTAAAATAAATAAACCAAGCTGTTTTAAATAATACTTAACACATTATCTGGACAACAGAAACCTTTTCTCACCGTGTTCGACTTGTAATCAGCAGGTTTTAAAAGGAAAAACCGTTTCTTTTGTATCTACATCACTAAAAAACGGCTAAAGTCGGACCGTTGATGCTCCGTTTCCATGGCAACATCGAAACGGAATGACGTAACGTTAGTTGCGTTCAAGCACCCTCGGAAATCTATAAGATGGTGTTAAAACTACGCTAAAATCACGCGCGACAAGGTTTTATCTTAGTTTTAACTAAATAAATTAGTAAAGTTTGAATTCTGGTAAATTCTTGATTAATTAAAAAAGAAATATGTAAACTGTAGGAAAATGATGCAAGACATCTTGGAGACAAACTGCAGTCTTTCGCATTAATTTGACCTTCAGCTCTAATAAAGACCCTTGGTGTTATCATTGATCAGGATATGTCATTGGCTCAGGTGTGAAGACCACGTGCATCACACCTGCACCATAAGGACTCTGAGCTCTGCCTGCCGTTGGGCGGTATGACGTCATATCCGGTCTGGTTACAACATTTTAATCTGATGCAAGTTGATAAACATCTCTTTGGCCCCTGCACTTTATATAAATGAACTGATACTCTGGCCAAGTTAAAACAACAAAAGAAAAGAATTGATCAGTTCACTGTGAGAATATCGATTATTCTCATTATTGACATCAGTTTGTTTTTCTTCCATACTTTTTCAGCATCTAACTCCTTCTTTTTGTTCTATTTCAACAATATATGAATCAAAACGTTCGGTTCGTTCAGCACATTCCTGCTGAGACTTTTGGTATTTGTGCCTTTTGAAATATTTAGCTTTGTCGGCCATGTTTTTTTTCATTGAAAGTGAAGGGGCTCTCTTCACGGCCTTCAAAACTCTTTGACCTGTTTAAACATTTTCCAGCTCATTTCTGCTAGTTTCAGCTTTTAATAGCCATTTTCTGCTCCTTTCAGCTTTTGTGCTGTTTTCAGCTATTTTGTTCTTTTTATTCCAGCTTCTTTCTCCTAATTTCAGCCTTTTTATATTTTCTTTTCTGTTTCTTTCTGTTAATTTTGGCTTTTTACACTTTTTCATGCTTTTTCTGCTAACTATATATATATATATATATAAGACCCGTCTCCACAGGACATGATGGTAACACAGGGAAGACAGGAACCACAGACACACAGCGGCCCCCAAGCCCAGAACACCGGGAGTCCCCCAACATGGACACCTGCACCCCCCAGAGAGAGAAGCAAAGGGAAGCCCCGGGCGATCCCCAGCAACCACAATGCAGAAACCCCATGAGGCTGCAGCGACGAGTCAACAGGCCCCGCCAGCAACCCGCCCCTCCAGAGTGGATCCGGCCATGGACACCGAGCCCCAAGTCCCGAGGTCATACCACCC